AGGGGAATAACTAAAATGAAGAAGCTAAGATGGATTCTGTCCTGCTCAAGAAGCTAACAAGAAGCCTGAACAGCATTAAGCTAAGAAAGAGAGTCAGTTTAAGCTGACAAAAAACAGGTTATCACAACTGCACTCTAGCCTGGGCAACAGAGCGAGACTTTAATCTCAAAAAAAGTCACATTCATTAATATCACCATCAATTTCATCAGGAAAAATAGTTTTTTGTTATTTATTTATTTATTTGAGATGGAGTCCCACTTTGTTGCTCAGGCTGGAGTGCAGTGGCACGATCTTAGCTCACTGCAACCTTCACCTCCCAGGTTCAAGCAATTCTCCTGCTTCAGCCCCTTGAGTAGCTAGGATTACAGGTGCATGCCTGGCTCATTCTGTGTTTTTAGTAGAGACAAGGTTTCACCACGTTGGCCAGGCTAGTCTCACACTTCTGACCTCTGATCTGCCTGCCTTGGTTTTCTGAAGTGCTGGGATTACAGGCATGAGCAACCATGCCTGGCTCAGGAAAAAAGTTTTATTTAAAAAAACCTTTTTTTTGTAGAGACAGAGTCATGCAAGGCTGGTCTCAAACTCCTGTCCTCAGGGGATCCTTCCACCTCAGTCTCCCAAAGTGCTGGGACTGCAGGCCTGAGCCACTGCACCCAGCCAGAAAAGTTTTTAAGTGTCATGCCAGGTGTGCTGGCACACACCTGTAAACCCAGCACTTTGGGAGGCCGAGGTGGGCAAATTACCTGAGATCAGTAGTTGGAGACCAGCCTGGCCAACATGGAGAAACCCTATTTCTATTAAAAATACAAAAATTAGCTGGGCGTGGTGCTGGTGCCTATAGTCCCAGCTAATCGGGAGGCTAAGGCAGGAGAATCTCTTGAACCTGGGAGACAGAGGTTGCAGTGACCTGAGATCACACCACTGCACTGCAGCCTGGGCAACAGAGCAAGACTCAGTCTCAAAAAAAAAAAAAGTTTCAGAAGCTGTGAAGTTTACAGTGGTGGACACAGGTTTACCTAAATCCTGGTGTTTGCTCAAAAGTTCATTTTACCATTTACAAAAACGCTGTCATTGTTTTCCTTGGTGGGACAGGGTAACCTGCCCACCTCAGCCTCCCAAAGTGCTGGGATTACAGGTGTGAGCCACCGCACCTGGCCGGTTAAATTTATTTCTAAATGTTTAATTCTTTTTGTAGCTATTGTGAATGTGATTGTTTTCTTGATTTATTTTTCAGATTGTTGTTAGTATATTTAGAAGCGCTACTGATTTTTGTATGTTGATTTTGTATGCTGCAACTTTGCCAAATTTATTAATTAGTTTGAACATTTTTGGTGGAATTTCTGTTGCTTTAAGCTACCCAATCTGTTAGTAACTTGTTATGGCAGCCACAGGGAACAGTGTGGGGGTCCGTCACTCCAGGCAACAAGTCGTGCATCACAGACTGTGGGTGTCATGGTGGGAGGAGCCGGGAGTCCCCTTCGAAGTCCCTTGCCATCCCTGCCAAGGATGGGACAACTGAGACCTAGGAAGTAACCCCTCGCTGAACGGCCATCAAATATGCTGAGATTGAATGTTCTTTACACAAACACAAGCTGACTGCCCCAAGGATGCCAGGGAACCAGTTCTTAGGCACGCTGGCAAATTAAGGGAAGAGGCCAGGAATAGGGGCTCACGCCTGTAATCCCAGCCCTTCGGGAGGCCGAGGCGGGTGGATCACTTGAGGTCAGATGTTCGAAACTAGCCTGGCCAACACAGTGAAACCTCGTCTCTACTAAAAACATAACAAATTAGCCAGGCGTCGTGGTGCATGCCTGTAACCCCAGCTACTGGGGAAGCTGAGGCAGGAGAATCGCTTGAACCCAGGAGGTGGAGGTTGCAGTGAGCCAAGATTGCACCAGTGCACTCCGGCCTGGGCGACAGAGTGAGACCCAGTCTTTAAAAAAAAAAAAAAAAAAATGAGGGAAGGACTGAAACATTGATCTGCCTTTCTATGCAAACATAGAAAGTAGCACTGTGCACAGCGCACGTGGGAGGCAGCTTCCACTTCCGCCGGCGGGCGAAGACGGAGAGCCACCCCAGCGGTTCCACTTCCGGGGGAGTGGAGGACCCGGATGAACCTGAACAGCCGTCGCTGCTGTCCGGCGACACTGAGGACAGACGCTGCCCGCCTCCTCCTCAAGAAACACCACTGCCTGAAAGACTCTGGGGAAGCCTCTAAATCCGCACCAATGGGCAGACGTTCTTAGGAAAATGTTAACAGGTACAGAATCCCCGCAAGATGGATTTCCTGGTACAATCGACTTTCTTCAGGGATGAATTTCGGAGGAGAGGGAGGGGAAGCCGCTGTGTGGCGCCGAGGGCTGCACGCCTGGGTGACAGAACCACGTGGAGAGGAGGGACGGTGGCGTCAGAGCTGCGGAGGGGCCGCTCTGCGCGGGTGTGCTCTGGAGAGTTGGTTCAGGGGTGGTGGCCGCAGGTGTTTGCTTTATAGCATTTACACTGTGCTCTTATTTCATTTTTTATTTTTATTTTTTAAATTATTTATATATTTAGAGACGGAGTCTTGCTCTGTCGCCCAGGCTGGAGTGCAGTGACGCGATCTCGGCTCACTGCACCCTCCGCCTCCCGGGTTCAAGTGATTTTTCTGCCTTGAGTCGGTAGTCCTAGCCACATGGGAGGCTAAGGTGGAAGGATCGCTTGAGCCCAGGAGTTCGAGACCAGCCTAGCAACAAAGTGAAAACCCTGCCTCTATCTTTTAAAATAATGAGTCTGATTTTAATGTGGCTGGATATAAATCATATCACAATTGGATCTGGAAATTTGGATTTTATTCTTAACTTTGATGGGAAGCCATTTTAAGCAGAAAGATGATTTTCAAAGGCCAGTATATCTTCTGTGTGAAGAATGAACTGGGAGATTTCATAGTATTATTAACAAAAATAGAATAGTCCAGATTTGAGGATCCAGTTTGGGGGATCCTCCCAAGTAGCTGGGACCACAGTCGTGCATCACGACATCCAGCTAATTTTTGTGTGTTTTTTTTTTTTTGAGATGGAGTTTCGCTGTTGTTACCCAGACTGGAGTGCAATGGAACGATCTCGGCTCACCGCAACCTCCGCCTCCTGGGTTCGGGCAATTCTCCTGCCTCAGCCTCCTGAGTAGCTGGGATTACAGGCACGCGCCACCATGCCCAGCTAATTTTTGTATTTTTAGTAGAGACGGAGTTTCACCTTGTTGACCAAGATGGTCTCGATTTCTTGACCTCATGATCCACCTGCCTTGGCCTCCCAAAGTGCTGGGATTATAGGCGTGAGCCACCGTGACCGGCCTTAATTTTTGTGTTTTTTAGTAGAGATGGGGTTTTACCATTTTGGCCAAGCTGGTCTTGAGCTCCTGACCTCGTGATCCTCCCATCTCAGCCTCCCAAAGTACTGGGATTACAGGTGTGAGCCACAGTGCCTGGCCATTTTATTTTTATTTTTATTTTTGAGACAGAGTTTCACTCTTGTTGCCCAGGGTGAAGTGCAGTGGCATGATCTCAGCTCACTGCAACCTCCGCTTCCCAGGTTCAAGCTATTTTCCTGCCTCAGCCTCCAGAGTGGCTGGGATTACAAACATGCGCCACCACACCCAGCTAATTGTGTTTTTTTTTTTTTTTTTTTTTTTTTTTTTGAGACGGAGTTTCACTCTTGTTACCCAGGCTGGGGTGCAATGGTGCGATCTTGGCTCACCACAACCTCCGCCTCCTGGGTTCAGGCAATTCTCCTGCCTCAGCCTCCAGAGTAGCTGGGATTACAGGCACATGCAACCATGCCCAGCTAATTTTTTGTATGTAGAGACGGGGTTTCACCATGTTGACCAGGATGGTCTCGATCTCTTGACCTCGTGATCCACCCGCCTCGGCCTCCCAAAGTGCTGGGATTACAGGCTTGAGCCACCGCGCCCGGCTAATTGTGTATTTTGAGTAGAGACAGGGTTTCACCATGTTGGTCGGGCTGGTCTGGAACTCCTGACCTCAGGTGATCCACCTGTGCCAGCCTCCCAAAGTGCTGGCATGACGTGTGAGCCACCGTGGGGCCAGCATTTGTTTTATGTTGTTTTCTATGGATGGATTCTTTTAGTTATTAGGGTTTTTTGGTTTTTTTTTTTTTTTTTTTTTTTTTGAGACAGAGTCTTACTTTGTCACCCAGGCTAGAGTGCAGTGTCGTAATCTCAGCTCACTACAACCCCCACCTCCCAGGTTCAGGCAGTTCTCCTGCCTCAGCCTCCTGAGTAGCTGGGATTACAGTTTCCTGCCACCACACCCAGCTAATTTTTTGTATTTTTAGTAGAGATGGGGTTTCACCACGTTGGGCAAGCTGGTCTCAAACTGCTGACTTCATGATCTGCTCACCTCAGCCTCTCAAAGTGCTGGGATTACAGGCATGAACCTCCACACCCAGCCTATTGGGGTATTTTTTTTTTTTTTTTTTGAGATGGAGTTTCGCTCTTGTTACCCAGGCTGGAGTGCAATGGCGCGATCTCGGCTCACCACAACCTCTGCCTCCTGGGTTCAGGCAATTCTCCTGCCTCAGCCTCCTGAGTAGCTGGGATTACAGGCATGCGCCACCATGCCTGGCTAATTTTTTTTGTATTTTTAGTAGAGACGGGGTTTCACCATGTTGACCAGGATGGTCTCGATCTCTTGAGCCTCGTGATCCACCTGCCTCAGCCTCCCAAAGTGCTGGGATTACAGGCGTGAGCCACCACGCCCGCCTATTGGGGTATTTTTTAAAGGGACAGAGCCCAGAGGACTTGGTGACTATTTTGAGCATGGAGGGGTGAGCTGGGTGACTCGTCCCAGGCTCTAACATAGGAGCTGGGAGATCAGCAGATGTTTACCATGGCCAGAGCAGTGGGACACATATATCTGAGAGCCTGGGAGTTGGCCTCCACCTTGCCCACAGGGTCCCTCGGCCTGGGCTACCCTGCTGCAGTAACACCCAGTGATGCTTCAGAAGCACAGTCTCCTTCCAGGTCTTTATTGGCACCAGGCACAAGTGGCCATGAAGGGTGGTGACCCTAAGGGGGTGAGTGGGGTCCCCCACCGAGGTGAACCCTGATGGTGGCTGTCTGCCCAGGGCCAAACCTCTCCAGGCAGGTGGAGGGCCAGGCCTGGCTCCAGCAGCAGCTCGGGTGGCGGGAGGGTCACCAGCTCAGGATGCCAGGGCAGTACTTGTCGATGAGCCCCTGGTAGTAGGGCCGCAGTTCGTCCACGTCTGGCAGGTCCGGGCACTTGGTGTAGAGGTCGAACTTGCTGCAGCCAGGAGGGGCTGTGAGCCCTGTGAAGACCCCCCCCATAGTCCCTGCCACTCCCCCAACCTGCCCAGAGGTGACCGTACTTGAACTCCTGTACCCAGGGTAGCATGGCCAGGTCCTGTGGGCTGCATAGCTGCTGGTAGTCATTGCCGGTGTGCCAGGGGTAGAAGGAGTGGAACCGGATCATGTAGAAGGCCTACAGGGAAGGCCATACCCAGCAGCTCATGGGCAGAGCTACAGGGACCTGGCAGGGCGGGCTGATGGGGTGGGGTCACCCCTCCCCCTACCTACCTCCAGGGGCAGTGAGAACTTGTTGAATTTCATCACCTGGTACATGTACTCTGTAGGGAGAGGGTGTCACCACCAGGCACCACCTCCGCCCCACTGTCCCCCACCGCCCCGCTGCCCGAGTCTGGCCTCACCATCATGGCCCCAGGACATGAGGACTCTATCGAGCCCACAGTGGGGCTGATAAATGCCGAGTTCTGTGCTACAGTGAGAGACGAGGGTGAAGTGGGGCTCAGTAGTTGCCTGGGGTGGGTGGGGGCCAGCCCCGGGCAGTGGGGAGCACCTGTATCTTGGATCCTGGAGGTCAGTATTGTCCTGGAAGGTGGAGTTGCAGAAAACCACGGAGGCCTGGGGACAGGCATCCGACCGGGAAGGTGTCTCCAACAACTGCCCACTGCAGAGGGACAGGCGACCTTCGGGACACTGGCTTGCCCTGCATGTAGTATCCCAGGCCAAGCACCGAGGCCACCCTGACCCCCACCTTGCCTTGACAAACAGACCTCCTCACCCACCACCACCAGTCATTACCTGGGGCTCCCCAAACAGGGCCAGGACCTTCCCCAGGTCATGCAGGAGCCCAACAAGGTGGAACCAGTCTGGGAGGAAGATGGATGGGGTGAGTTGGGGAGTGTAGGGGCCAAGACAAAGGACAAGCAGGCTTGCGGGGGCTGAGAGCCAGGAGGGGCCCCGGGCCTGCTCCCCAACCCAGACAGGGCTGCTGGAGGAGGCCTGGGACCCCCACTGTTCCCTTCTACCCCTCAGGCCCCTGCATTCTGCTCCTTGGAGGCAGCACCTCCCCCCCAACAGCGGGGCATGGGGGCTAACCCTTGTCTGGGTGGGCCTTCCGGATGCCCTCTGCTGTCTGGAAGGCATGGAAGGAGTTGGGGAAGTCCACATCCGGGTCGGACTCATCCACCAGCCTGTCCAGCAGGTCCACAGCCTCCATGACTGTCATTTTCTTGTAGGAGAAGCCCCCAAACTGGGCATGCTGGGGGTGGAGGAGAAGGCAGCGTGGCCCAGGGTCAGCAGGCCGAGGGCCTGTCGGGGGGTACAGGACAGGCCCACTCCGTCCCCTCGGTGCCTGGTGGGCGCATGGGGCTGAGGGCAAGAGTCCCTGAGAGGTTGCACAGGGCAGCAAGAAATGCCTACCTTGCTCTTGACAAAGTCCACTGTCTGGTGCGTGTGCATGAGCTTGTAGGTGGTGAAGACACGGTCCAGGAGGGGACCTGACTGCAGGCCAGAGGTCATCGGAGGCTGATGCCACCCCATCACCCTGCACACGGGGCCCCATGCCTACCCTCTCCCAGGCAGCCTCACAGGGTGTGTTAGGGGTGGGGGTTCCCATAGGGCACCCCCTGGAGCTATGTGAAGGGCAGGTGCTGCTCCCCAGGGTGTGGATGGGGCAGGGCAGGGCGACAAGGAACTCACCGTGTAGTTCCGGAAGCTGCCCTTGTCTTTGGCCGCCTCTGGGTCCATGTCAGGTCGGTAGACCAGGGAAGGGTCTGGGCCCTGGATAGGTAGAGGATTAAGCCCATTTCACCATCATGCCAGCTCCACAAGGAAGCACAGACATTCCCATGGTGGCTGCAGACTCCAAGCCTGCCTCTGCTCGACCTGGTGGTGGACACAAGAGGGCACCGCCTCTCCCACATCATCACCCTAGCCTCCAAGAGTCCCAGGAGCTCTCACTCCCCGGACCTTATCTGCAGAGCAAATGTCAGCAGAAGCCAGCTTCAAGGGTGCAGGGGCACCATGCCTGAGTGGCACCCAGGGCACCCTCAAGAGGCGGAAGCAACCTAGGGGTCGGCAGCTGCTGACTCTTGCCTGGCTGGACTGCAGCCGGGAGGAAGGAGCCCTCTGACCTGGACGAGCAGGGCTGCTCAGCACCAGTGGGAAGAGGGCGGGAGCAGCTGGCCACCAGGAGAGCAGTCAGCGAGGCCTCTCTGCATGGGGTCTGGGTACTCACCACCATCACCTTCATCCTGAGAGGGAGCAGCACTCGGGTGGCAAAGTGCAGGCTGGCGAGTGTGTCCTCAGCCAGGCTCCTATATATGCCCCAGGTTACATAAGTGACCGTGGTAATGAGTGACCATGCACCCTTCCCCTGGCCTCAGGGAGTTAATGTGTTAGCACAGGAGCAGCCCCCAGCAGCCCCACATCCTCTTGCCCTGACCCAGCTTCCCTCCTGTCCTGAGCCGATGAGCTGCTTAGGGTTGTCTGTGGACCCAGCCTCCCACTTGCCCGTGGCTTTATACACCTCTGTGGGGTCCCTCCTCACAGGTAGGGGTAGACCTAAGACCCTACCCTCAAGCACAGCCCACCCCCTCCACCCTGGCCCCTTTCCCGCTGCCCCACTGGATCTCAGGAGGTTAAAAACTTGCCCCCAGCACCCATAATTCTGGGTGGGGCAGGGGCTTGTTAAGAAAAGCTTATTCTAAGGACTTGTTAAAATGATGAGAAAAGCTTTATTCAAGAGAGTGGTGAGAGGAGCTCACCTCTGAATTCAACAACCACAGCTGGGGGCTGATGGCACCGAAGGGGTCAGCGGATGGGAAGTTGGTCAGGGGAGCCTTCGAGGGTAGGGGATTCTCGCTAGAGTGGCTCAGTGGGGATCTTGCAGGAGGCCAGCAGGGTGACGAGATCGAGGTGGGAGGTGAGGAATTGGATCAGATATCAAGGGTGGGTAATTCTCCATAAACTGATTGAGCAGGATTCTTGCTGAAACTGAGCTCGGTGGACCCAGCAAGGAGAGGGACGGGGCCAGGCCTTGTAGAGGAAAGGACTCAGGGGCATCGGCTCAGAGTTTCGTCCTGTATCAGGCACTGGGAGAGGGGCCGCATGGAGAGTCGGAGGCAGGCACCGAACCCTCCAACACCGAGGCTGCCCACGCAACTTCCCATACATGAGCCCTGCAGGCAGGGAGGACACCGTGAGAACAAAGTGCCTGGCTGCAGAGCTGGCGTGTGGAGTGTGGCCAGGGAGGTCTGGGAACAGCAGTCAGCTGGGGCAGGAGAGAGGACAGTGGGGAACTGACCTGACTTAACAAGATCGTGGTGCAGCTGAGCTGAGAAGGAACCGTGGGCAGACCCCAGCGCCCCCCGCTTAAATGGCAACCTACCCTGGACTCTCCTTCCTTGTCTGACTCCCCATGGTACTTAGCACTTCCAGCGCTCCGTCACCCACTTATTCTGCCTTCTGTTTGTTTCCTTCTGTCTCCTCCTAGAATGTCAGCCCGGTGGGGCACGGCTGTATCCTCAAGCGTCCCAGCAAGCTTGGGTCACACGTGCTCAGCACGCACTGGCCAGAGGAATGGAGACAGGTGCCGGGAGGAGGCTATGGCCATCACTCCCAAAGCAGGTCGTGCCGGGCTCAGGAGAAGGTGTCCGGATAGGTTCATGAGGTGGGACCAGTAGGCTTCAGGGGAAGGTGTGAGGGAAGAGAGGAGGTTTTTTTTTGTTTTGTTTTGTTTTTTGCTGCAACCTCTGCCTCCTGGGCTCAAATGATTCTCTTTCCTCAGCCTCCCAAGTAGCTGGAATTACTGGCATGTACCACCACACCCAGCTAATTTTTGTATTATTGTTATTTTGAGATAAGAGTTTCGCTCTTGCCCAGGTAGAGTGCAGTGGTATGATCTTGGCTCATTGCAACCTCTACCTCCCAGGTTCAAGTGACCCTCCTGCCTCAGCCTCCCTAGTAGTTGAGATTACAGGCATGTGCCACCATGTCCAGATATTTTTGTATTTTTAGTAGAGATGGGGTTTCACCATGTTGGCCAGGCTGGTCTTGAACTCCTGACCTCAGGTGATCCACCCGCTTCGGCTTCCCAAAGTGCTGGGATTACAGGTGTGAACCACCAGACCAGCTAAGAGGAGGTTTTGGCTGGAATAGCAGGAAGTGGTTGCTGGGGAAGGTGGGGGTGGGTGCAGGCACTGCCAGGCCTCCACGTGAGGGCGTCAGGTGGGTCTGGCTTCACACCAGAGGTGACACGGAAGGTCACAGCAGGCAGCCTCCTGAGGGCATAGGGAGGGTGAAGGCCTTCATGGAGGAGGGAACACTTGGCTCTGACTACAGGCAGGCCCCGGATGGGGTGCCAAACTGGAGTTTGCCCAGGCAGGAGAGGACACGTCTGGGAGGGTTTTGGCTGGGCTGAGTAGGGGTTGCTGAGCTCCTGAGCCCCCAGCTTGGCCCAGGCCCCCCTCCTTCACTCCCCATGCCCCTCCCTCTGTCCTCATGCCCTACACTCTGCTGACACCCTTCAGTGGCCACAGGGCACATGACCCTGAGGCCGAGGCCCCACTACCCTGCAGCCTCTTGGCAGCCATGCCTCCTGTGCACCTTGGGCCTTGGCATTCCCAAGGCACTGTTTCCCCGAGAGAAGCCCTGCTATCTTCAGACCTCACTTGAGTCAGTACTGCTCCCAGGGAGCTGGCCTCGACTGCCTTGCTGTGTGGCCCACCACCCCGACCATCTCTGCTGCAATCCTAGTCCATCTTCCAGGGCATGGAGGCCTCCACAGGGCAGGACCAGCCTGGACTGTTCCCACAGGGCCTCTTGGAGCACAGGTCAGTTACCTGGACCTGGTGATCCCTGACTAGGGGAGCAAGCATAAGGCAGCACCTGGGTGGGCGCGGCCAGGACCCTCCTACTTTGAGGCAAGAGCTGAGGGGTTGCTCTGTGGGGGAATGTCCTGAGCCCTGTGCCGCAGCCTCTAGAATTGGGGTGATCATGGTGACCCTCATGGGGTGGCCAAGAGGGTGACCCTAGCAAACATTTGCAAATTAAGTGCTGAGCATTTGCCTAGTAGCAGAAGGAACTCTTTCTGAACTCTGTGTTCTGCTGGATGAATGGGAAGCTTGAGTGGCACACAGTGTAAGCTCCCCATCCCCCCTGGGCAGACCGGCCATGGTTTTTGTTCTTGCTGTCATTGGGGGGTGGGGCTGCCCTCCCTGGCTCTTGGCAAGTCGACTGCTACCCCCACACATGGTCCCACTGGTTCCCCACACCGAGTGGCGGTGGGGGGCCTGTATTGCCTGTGGAGCCCCACCCTTGTCTGGCTGCCAACAAGGGTCTCACCCCCTTGAGGTGGGGTGGGTCCATTTGGGCTGGGGGATTTTGCCCTACCCAGCCCTGCCGTGTCCTGGTGTAGGAAGGTGTGTCCCTGTCCCATAATGGCTTGGGGTGGCTCCTGAACTTCTAAGGTCCCCTCCCTGGCCTCCCACAGGGGATCCAGGTGGGGTCTCCATGGCCACCTCAGTCTGAGCTCCAGAGTTGGCAGCTGGAGCCACAGAGGTCCCTTCATGACCTCTGGAGGGCCACCATCCCCTCACCCAATCCCAGGGGCCACAGCATCCCTGCCCCCCCGCCACTCCCCCTCCTGTCCCAACGACTTGGGGAAAAAGAGGCTGGGACCCTGGGCCAGGCAGGCATGTGGAAGGGCTGGTCGTGCATGAGAGCAGGAACAGCCCAGGCACGAGGCTGGACTTCAGTCTGACTGGACCAGCAGTGGAGGGGCAACTCCGGCCAATTCAGCCTCTCTCCCCTGCTGGCCCAGAGGTGGCCCTGTGTGTTCAGGGCCTGGCTTCTGCTCCATGTCTCTGGGCAGACGCCTCCTCTCGGAAGCCTTTTTAGCATCTGGTGCTGCCACCAGCTGTGTCTGGCAGCCATCCCCCAAGTGGTCACAATTTCAGGGTGTTCAGGCTCCTTGATATACCAGCACTGCGTGTAGACCAGCCTCGGTCTACACGTGTGCAAGGGTTTATGTGTGCAAAGCTGTGCAGGTATTCTTGCTGCAGGCTCTGCTGTCTGCAGCTCTGATGGACTGAGCTGGGGATGGGGCCCAGCTGCAGCTCTGGACGGGGGCATAGCACCCTGGCTGGGATGGGCAGGGGTGTGGCCCAACCCCACCTCAGCCATAGCTGTGGGGGCTTCTGGGGTCCACAGGAGCTGAGTCCTGCCGGCCAGCTGGTCCCATGAGCTGCCACAGGCGGTGGCTGAGATTCTGCACCTGGCAGGTGCCCAGTACACAGCCCACCCGAAGGAGCTGGGCTCGGGGCCTGCGGGGGCCTGAGTGTCTTTGGGGGCCCGAGTGTTGGCGACCACCATCCCGGAGAGGCTGACCCATAGCAAGGGCCAGGCTGGCACCCCTTTGTGGCTGGAGGGCCTGGTGAAGATTCCAGATCACAGGACGGGGTGCGGGGTGACTGGGCTGCAGGCTGCTGGAAGTCCGGGCTGGGAGCTCCCTGCAGAGGCAGACAGAGAATGTCAACCCAATGACTCAGACTTTCAGAGACCCCAAACCTACCCATGTTTGCCTCTACGCAGGTCTGGGTCACTGCCAGGGGAAGCCCACGGCCCATACACACCCTGGAGCACCGCCAGGGGAAGCCCGGTCCCCAGGACCATCTCAGTGGCCTGGGTCACATGTCCTGGGAGCCAGCACCTCCTTGGGCAAAGGGCACCCCGAGGCCCAGCCTCTGCCAGTCACGACTCTCAGGTCTCAGGGTGACTCGGCCTCTGCTCTCCCTTTAGGGTGGTCACAGGCAGGCCTGGGGATATTGCTAGCCTCTCCTCCCCCAGTACACAGCCCCAGGTGAGGGGCTGCTGTGCATTCGTGCTTGTGTGTGCATGTGTGTGTATGTGTGTGCAGAATATCGCCAGCCTCCCCTCCCCGCAGCACACAGCCCCACGTGAGGGGCTGCTCTGTGTGTGTGTGTGTGTGTGTGTGTGTACGTACGTGTGTGCGCGTGCAGAAGCAACTGCCCTATGTAGAGAGGCAGAGAAAGAAGGGCCTCTGAACCTGCTGAGGTGCTGCAGAAGGCCCGGGGGCGGGGGAGCCTTCCCGTGGGAGGTGAGCCCTAGCAATAGGTGGGGGTGGAGGGAGGGCGGCACCCACGCCCCCTGCACTCTGCTTCCCGGCGGGAGGGCCAGAGGGGCAGGTTGGCCCAAGACCCGCACTCACCTGGGTTTGACGGGACGCCAGTCCCCGCCCAGGCTGCGGGACAGCACGCTCGGGAGCTGCAGGCAGAGGAGGCTGATGCAACCCAGGGCTGCCGTCGGGATCCGGGCCATGGCGGGCAGGGCTGCCGGGGGCGCCGGGCGTGGGCGTGGTAGCTGGGCACGGGCGTCCGTCGGGGCGCTGGCCTCCGGCGCGGCGCCGACAACGGTCTGGGGGCGGCCGCGGGCTGGGTCGCAGGCGGAGCGGGTTGGGCAGGTTGGGTGTCCCACCTGGAGCGGAGTCACGGCCTGGGATGGCACCTCCAGAGCTGAATACGTAGCCTTTCCAGCGAGGGGCGGAGCCGGACGCGCGGATTGGGCGGGGCCCCCCCAAGCCCTGCCACCTTCCGGGGCCGGGAGGGGGCTGCAGCCGCGTGGTCCTCCAGGCCCAAGTCCGCAGGCGCTGCAAAGGTGCGGCGGAGGGTCCTGTCCCCGCTGGGAGCGCTTGGAGACCGTCCGGGATCGCGGGGCGCCAACCTCACTCCCGCGCCTTCTGGTGGGGACGCAGCCCCGAGCCCGTGGGGGCCGGACTCTCGCAGACTGAAGCGGAGTTCTGGGGGACCAGCAATCATCCGAGCTGATCCCACGGCTGGGCGGACTGGGCCCACCCCGTCAGCCACTTCCCGAGTCCAGGCGGCCCCACTCTCCAGAGTCTGACCCGGTGGACCCACGGCCTGACCAGCGAGTCTGTGGGGTTCCACAATGGGCCGGCCATTCCACTCTCTGACGCGCGGTACTCCCAACCCCGGGCTGTGCTCCTAAATGGCTCCACCTACCCCTCCCCTCGCCGCTCCAACCATGGACCAAAGTATTGCACGATTTTTGTAAGAAATTTAAGCCGAGCGCGGTGGCTAAAGCCTGTAATGCCAGCACTTTGGGAGGCCAAGGAGGGTGGATCACGAAGTCAAGAGATCGAGACCATCCTGGTCAAACATGGTGAAACCCCGTCTTTACTAAAAATACAAAAAATTAGCTGGGCATAGTGGCGCGTGCCTGTAATCTCAGCTACTCAGGAGGCTGAGGCAGGGGAATTGCCTGAACCCAGGAAGCAGAGGTTGCGGTGAGCCGAGATCGCGCCATTGCACTCCAGCCTGGATAACAAGAGCGAAACTCCGGCTCAAAAAAGAAAGAAAGAAAGAAAGAAGTTTAAACAAGTGGCCGGCTGTCGTGGCTCACGCCTGTAATCTCAGCACTTTGGAAGGCCCAGGCAGTTGGATCTCCTGAAGTCAGGAGTTGGAGACCAGCCTGACCAACATGGAGAAACCCTGTCTCCACTAAAAATACAGCATTAGCCAGGCGTGGTGGCACAAGCCTATAATCCCAGCGATGTGGGAGGTTGAGGCAGGAGAATTGCTATGCCAGGCGGCCGGTGGAGGTGGCAGTGAGCTGAGATCGGGACACTCCACTCGAGGCTGCAACGAGAGTGAAGCTGCATCTCAAAAAGAAAGAAATTTAAACAAGTGAAACGTGACACTCCCCTCAACACTGCCACCCACTCGAGACCCCTACCCCGATCTGGGTGGGTGCCCTCTCCTGACCTGCCCTGGGCACACCAAGGCATGGCCTGCATGAGGCACACATATCCATGTGTGCAGACCTGCCCCATTCTTTCCCAAGAGCTTGTTTGGAGGACCTGGCAGAGGAGTGAAGCTACTCAAAGCCCAATCCTCCATCCTCTTCGACTTCAATGGAGCATGCAACTTTGGGAGGGATGCCAGGGAACGTGGGGGAGGAATGGGACACTCGCTCCCTACCCAGCCAGCATCATCAGCCGAATCAACCCTGGTGACCAGTGGGTGACAGGTGTCACGGCCCCATGGCCCTCACATCGGAGACCCCATGCTCTTCTATGGTTGGACCTCCTCCTCCAACATGCAGATGTTCTATGATTCACTTCATCTGCTATTAATGCAAGATTAGTTGATTTTCAGTCTTTCCATGAATTGCTGCCTTGAGCTCACAGATGTGTCTATAGGACAACTTCCTAGAAGTAGGAATTCTGGTTGAAGTTGAGCACATGTTTATGTTGATAGGTGGCGCCAAACTGTTCTTGGCAAAGCTTTCACCTACCCACTGTCCACTAGTCCTGGACTTGGTGTCACTGGTTCCAAGCTGCTGGGACTGGCCCTTCTTGGGTTACCTGAGCATCTCTGCATCTGTTTGTGCTTCCCCGCCTGTCTCTCCCCACCCCGGTGCTCACCCCCTAGACCTCCTGCTGACTTGCCTTCGGAGCACAGTCAACATTTGCTGAATGAATAAGTTGAGGAGTGCCGAGCACACGCCACACAGGCCAATCCGGGAGGGCAGGAATGCCCTACAGATATTTTATTTACTTATTCTGATCAGTTAGGGGCAGGGAGTATGTCACATTTATGGATTTTTTTGTTGTTGTTGTTAGCATCTTACTCCATCCCCCAGGCTGGAGTGCAGTGGTGAAATCTCAGCTCACTGCAACCTCTGCCTCCCAGGTTCAAGCAATTCTCCTGCCTCAGCCTCCCAAGTAGCTAGGATTACAGGCCCGGATAATTTTTGTATTTAAGACAGGGTTTCACCATGTTTGCCAGGCCGATCGTGAACTCCTGACATCAGGTGATCCACCCACCTCGGCCTCCCAAAGTGCTGTGATTACCCAGCATCTTTTTTTTTTTTTTTTTTTTTTTTTTCTTTTTTTTTGAGAGTCTTGCTCTGTTGCCAGGCTGGAGTACAGTGGCACGATCTCAGCTCACTGCAACCTCCACTTCCTGGGTTCAAGCAGTTCTCCTGCCTCAGCCTCCCCAGTAGCTGGGACTACAGGTGCGTGCCACCACACCCAGCTAATTCTTTGTATTTTTAGTAGAGACAGAATTTCATCATGTTAGCCAGGATGGTTTCAATCTCCTGACCTCAGGTGATCTGCCTGCCTTGGCTTCCCACAGTGGTGGGATTACAGGGGTGAGCCACTGTGCCTGGCCTTTTAAAAATTTTATTTTATTTTTTTTTTTTGAGACGGAGTTTCGCTCTTATTACCCAGGCTGGAGTGCAATGGCGCGATCTCGGCTCACCGCAACCTCCGCCTCCTGGGTTCAGGCAATTCTCCTGCCTCAGCCTCCTGAGTAGCTGGGATTACAGGCACGTGCCACCATGCCCAGCTAACTTTTTGTATTTTTAGTAGAGACGGGGTTTCACCATGTTGACCAGGATGGTCTCGATCTCTCGAGATAGAATCTGGCTCTGTTGCTCAGGCTGGAGTGCAGATGGCGAGATCTCGGCTCGCTGTAATCTCTGCCTCCTGGGTTCAAGTGATTCTTCTTCCTCAGCCTCCCGAGTAGCTGGCATTACAGGTGCATGCCACCATGCCCAGCTCAAACTCCTGACCTCAAGTGATCTACCCACCTCGGCCTCCCAGAGTGCTGGGATTACAGGTGCGAGCCACCATGCCTGCATCTTGGGGGGTTTTGTTTGAGTGTTTTATTATGGCAGAGGTAAGTTTGACTCTGATAGCAAGGAATCCATAGACAGAAAAAGATGGAGTTTGGCGGTGGGCACTGACAATGAATGGCCTGAGATCAGGAGTGGGAGGGGGCAGAGCCTGTGGTAATGGAGGGAGGGGTGGTGTGAGGGATGTAAGATGGGGGCTTGTGCCCCCACCCGATAGCTTCTGTTTGCTCTGTGAGGAGCAGCCAGTCATCTCAGAGACACTGGAAGTAGGATGAGAGGTTCAAGGAGAGTGCAGACTGGAAGACAGCTGACCAGAAATCAGAAGGCTGGGGAGTAATGAGGGCGACCATCCATCTGAGGGGGGTGCCATGGCATCACGGTCGGTCACTCTGCTCTATGTGGGGTTGTCAGTCCATCTGAGGCAGGGGTCATGGTGTCACCAAGGATCACTCTGTCCTATGGGGTGGTGTCCATCCACCTGAGGCTGGGGCCAGGGTGTCATCCAGGGTCACTCCATCCTATGGGGTGTCTATCCATCTTCAGTGGGCACCATGGTGTCCCTTGGGCCACTATGCTCTATGTGGGGTGGTGTCCATCTCTCCAAGGCTGGGGCCATAGTGTCACCGACGGTCAGTCTGTACTATTGGGGGCGTCCATCCCTCTGAGCCACTGTGGATGGTTGTTCCCAAGGGCCTGGTCGAAGAGCATGAGAGTGGAGAGTGTGATGCAGGGTCCCTGTAGTCTGTCAGAGGAGAGCCAACTCTGTGGTCATGCACTAGCCCTAACTTGCCCAGGGACACTGCCAGCCTGCACCAAGCTCAATGGTGTGGGAATGTGCTGCTGAGGACCTTTTTGGGTACAAGTGACAGAAACCAACTTGAGCTAGCTGGGGCAAAAAGAATTTCTAGTGGGGCACAGTTTATCACACTTGTAATCCCAACACTTCTGGAGGCAGATGCAGCAGAATCATTTGAGGCCAGGAGTTCGAGATAAGTCTGGGCAACATATTAAGACCCTGTCTCTACAAAAAATTAAGTTTTAAAAAAGATGATTTCTCAGCCTTTGAAAACCAACAGTGGGAGAGGAGAGGTAGAGTGTAGCCTGTGCCTGGGGACCAGGAGGGAACCCTGGTGGGGTTTCTGTTTGGTTGCATTCATCATTCTCTTGGGCTGGCTCCTTCCTGCCCATGGATGGAATATGGATGCCAGTCATTCAGCCAGTTCTTGCAGCAGCCAAACTCTTTTTTTTTTTTTTTTTTTTTTTGAGACAGAGTCTCACTCTGTCGCCATGCTGGAGTGTAGTGTCTCAATCTCGGCCCATTGAACCTCCGCTTCCTGGGTTCAAACGATTCTTCTGCCTCAGCCTCCTGAGTAGCTGGGACTACCGGTATGCACCACCACACCCAGCTATTTTTTGTATTTTTTGTATTTTTTTTTTTTGAGGCGGAGTTTTGCTCTTGTTACCCAGGTTGGAGTGCAATGGCGCGATCTTGGCTCACCGCAACCTCCGCCACCTGGGTTCAGGCAATTCTCCTGCCTCAGCCTCCTGAGTAGCAGGAATTACAGGCACATGCCACCATGCCCAGCTAATTTTTTTGTATTTTTAGTAGAGACGGGGTTTCACTATGTTGACCAGGATGGTCTCGATCTCTTGACCTCGTAATCCGCCTGCCTTGGCCTCCCAAAGTGCTGGGATTACAGGCATGAGCCACAGCACCAGGCCCCAAACTCATTTAAAAACAGAACTTCAGGCTGGGTGCATGGGCTCACGCCTGTAATCCCAGTAGTTTGGGAGGTTGAGGTGGGTGGATCACCTGCGGTCAGGAGTTTGAGACCAGCCTGGCCAACATGGTGAAGCCCCATCTGAACTAAAATACAAAAGTTAGCCAGGTGTGGTAGCACACGCCTGTAATCCCAGCTATGCGGGAGGCTGAGGTGGGAGAGTCGCTAGAACCTGGGAGACAGAGGTTGGAGCAA